CCCAGAGCGAGAGCAGCATCACCTCCGCTCCGGAACCCCCAGCGGCCAGCTCCCAAGAACCCCCCCAGACCCCAATACACCCCCACCAGCCTCAACGCCCCAAGAGGTCCCATCCCAAACCCCCACCCTCACCATGTGATGGAACTAATCAAAGGAGCCCAAACAGATTTATCTGATGTGGCGGCAGAGGCTGTTTCAAGACTGTAATGATCTAACAGAAGATTTCTACACTGAGTAAGACCTTTAATGTTAGACTTGTTCAGCTCAAAGAGGTGAATGAGACACTCCTCAGGAGGACACTTTGGTGGACGGTGTCCAGAGACTAAAGACGGTTGGACCAGAAATATTTTTATAATAAAATTCCAGCTTTATTTTGGAGTTTGGTTTTTAGATTGCGAGCTTAGCTTGTGACGGTTCCGGGGTATTGCTTTTTTATTGCTATTAATTTGAGTAATTTATTTGGGGTGCCAGCCAGGTCTCCCTCCTGGCAATTAGGATATTTAACCATGTGTGTGTGGGATTTTACTGTTTTTAACTTATTATGGTTTAGGGTTTATTTTGCTTTAACCTATCACACAAGGACATATATCAAAAATATACACCCTTTTAAACCTTAATTAAATAATAAGTGACAAAACATTTGAAAAAGAAAATTGTTCAGACAAGTGAAATCTATTTTTGCAAATATATTATATACACACACAACAAAAAATAAGCAATACAAACAAATCTCCCCTTCCCCAGTGTCCACAAGTGGTGCTTGAACCACTTTAGTTCAAAGATCAGTGTTTTCTTTTCAAACAAGCTTTAGGTTCCACTTGCTTGGCTTGCAGTTTAGCTTTAACTCCAACAAGGCATAAACTCCATAGGGAAAAAAAGAATCTCTCCAGCACAAAAACTTGGAGCTAAAATAAAACAAAAATACATTTTTACACGAAAGCATTGGATTATAGAACACAACAAAAACATGGAACAGGCTTACTTGGTAGATGGATGACGTGACAAGGTGTAATAAAAGACTGAACACTTGGAAAAAAACAAAGTTTTGATTGTTTCTAAGTTTTGTTTTGTAATTTAGCACACACACACACACACACAAGTTCTGTTCTTTTGAAAGGGGGACATACGTTTGAGGTTGCGTAACGTCATTGATCCGTGCGTTTCTACCAAGAAGGGTTTTCCTGCTTGTGGTGTGGACGGAGGATGACGTCACTCCCTGTCTTGTTCCAGCAAGGATTCTCTTTACTTTTGGTTCAACATTTTTAATCCCAGGCACTTTACGAAGTCATGGCTGCTCATCATGAGGGACTAGAAACGTCTTTCTTCTCTTTTTTTTTCTTGTTTACGGTTCCTTCTCGGGCGAGTGAACGAACTAACTGGCTGTGGTTATGGGCGGCTTTTAACAGGTGAGTCACTGCAGCGTGCGCAGGTGCTCAGAATCACTAAAGGTTACAGAGGTGGAGACTAACAGAATACAATTTACTGATTTAACTGTACAACCTTCGGGTTGTTACAAGCTAATGTTAGCTAATGTTAGCTAGCTGTGGAGCTAAAATAGATGGACGTGCATTTGACAAACTCACATTAATGTCAGGAGGCAAACTTTAAGAACCAGCCGATGGGACAAAGCTAATTTTGTTTTCAGTTTGCTGCAAAATTATGAGACTGTCAGTATTTTCAGCACTAATGTGCTTCCATACCTATAACGTGTGTGTGTGTGTGTGTGTGTGTGTGTGTGTGTTATGTCATACTTTTAGTGGTGTGTTTTTAAAATGTTCTCTCTTTACTGAATCAAACCAGCTGAGCGAAGCAGACTGTTACTACAGCAGAGGTCAAAGGTCAAGCTGGAGGAGGCGGGACCTCCCATGCTGGTGTCAGCCAATCAGATCTCAGACTGAAAAGAGCGCTGGCAAGGAGCAGGACTGTGAGGTGCATTCTGGGAAATGTAGGATGATGTAGGAAACAATGAAAAATACGGAGAATTAATCAGTTTACGATGTTATCTGATCAAACTTGTATCCTATGAATCAACAGATATTTCTAATGAACTTTGGATTTCTGATCGTTTCAGATTTTATTTTAGATTTCACTTGTTTTCATCTCATCTCTAAAACTACCAGAATCCTGACGTGGTTAAATGTGGTGGTTCATCTAAAACAACAGTTCAGTAGATTCAAGTAGAATGGGAGAATGGGAGGCAGAGCCTTCAGGGTTTAATTTAATTCAGGGTTTGTAAAACTACAAATGTGTTTGATCACTTTCAAAAATCATTTTAAAGAATAATTTTTTAAAGCAAATTTTCATTCTGAGTACAGAATACAAAATATATATATATGTAAGATTTTTTTCCCACTCGTCTAAGGTCTTTTTGCATTGTATAGCACATAACCCCTTTAAAACCATAATGAATAAGGCTAAAACATTTGTAAATCATAAATCCACGTGTAGACAGCTGTGTAAAGATCCATACAGGTAAAATAAAGTAAAATAGAGCAAAGCTCCAGAAGTTTTAGTAAAAAAAAAAAAAAATTCAGTGTTCAGTCATTCTGCACAGGTTGGAGCTTGTTGGTTCCATTAATACATTTTTAGTTTCAACAGTTATTATTATTTTATACCTGCCTGAAAGTGTGAGTCTGTTCTGTGTTTCTGTCTCCCTCTTGTGTTTGTGTTGTGTTTTCACTCCACCTTTGTTCCTCAGTCAGTTCTGTTTTCTCTCATCACCTGTCTGTATCAGTAATCACCCAGCTGCTCTCCATTTTCCTCTCAGCCTTGTTATTTACTCGCTCTGTTTCCTCCACTTACTCTCTGGATAAGTGTTTATTTTTCACCATATATACTGAGAAATTATTATATTTGACTTCAGCTGGAGCATAAATTAAGTAAAAAAAGCTTTCAACACATTTTACAACATGTTTTGGTATTTACTTTGACTTGCATTAAAAAATGAAAAACGTCTAAAAAGATTTTCTACAGATTTGCATTGATGCTACAGTATTTTGTACAATTTGTTTACTTTCTGATTAATATTTCTTTTTTATGTTTCTTTATGAGCTTTTAGCCAAGACTCTGAAGTTTCTGTTTCTATAAGACATGTCCATGTTTAATAATTGTCATTGTATAGAGCACAATGACAATTACAGTTCAGAACACCCATTCAGAGGAAGACAGAACATAACAAACATAGGAGAACAGGAGCTCTGGGTCATGCAGCCTCAGACCCTGCACAGAGCAAGGATCGTCTTCATGAAAACATCATCAGGAAGTGCAACCCTTAAAAGAAAAACTAAAAACCACACAAGGAAGATGAGGGGAAAAAACATCATATTATATCAACAATGTGACACACTATGGTGTTTGTAAAAAACCTCTGCATAGAGCACATTTATTAGCCAGAGGAGTAAGTGAGTTTAGCGGGGCGTGTATCTGAAGCCATGATTGTTGTACGCACTTGTGTGAATATCTGAAAAATGAGCCAGAAGAATCGAGTCCCCAAAACTCTCGCAGCCGTCCAGAATATGGATGTTAACTGTTCATTCTGTGTGGCCCTCAGCTTGCTCCAGGAACCAGATCACAGACAGGTGTGTGTGTGTTTGAGGGGCGGGGGTGGGGGGGGGGG